TTTATTGGATCCATAGGTAGAAACATGTTTTTTTAGGCTGTAAAATTGGGCATTTTAACATGGGGGTCTATGGAAATTGCTCCTTTCTGCAGTCAGTGCCTATCGGCCAATATATGAACTGCAGTTTGTGGCACTTCCGTATTGGCGTCCCGGCTCTTCCCCAGAGTTTGCCGCTTGGGAGAGACACGGGAGATTCATGTGATTGGTTGTTGGTCGCGTTGCTCGCGTAAACTCCCCAAGCTCAAGACACGCCCACCGCCAAGCGGCAACGCACGCCGCCGTGTGTAGGCTGCGTAACTGATATAAAAGCAGGACTTAAGTTCCTGATTTATACTGTTCGTTTCTGCCTCCAAGTTTTTTTTCTGCACTTCAAATCTTATCAAAGATAGGGTAGAATCTGACTTCCAGACAATATTTGTCTTTAATAGTATGGCATGCAGCCATAAAACATTGTGGGTATATTTGATTATTATTAAACAAGAATAGTAGTAAAGTTTTGCCCTCATAACCACCCAAAGTCACGGCCAGGCCAGAATTGACCCGACACACCAGTGACAATTTTTTGAGGCCTTCAGAATCTAATAAAATGACAACCATTGGTTTTGTTGTGCTTATTTGACTGTTTTGGAGCCTTGTTCCCAAAAAGCTGGATGATGTTTATAAAAACTTAAAAGGGTCAAACTTGACAGGAGGGTTAATGTGTGCCAACAGAATAATGAACTACAGAACACAGGACCTGGGAACATAGATAACAGGCAGTAAACCATTCAAAATAGTTTAAATGGGAAGAATTATCTTTTTGTGATAACATTTTTATAATATTTGAAAATGTACATAAATCAACATTCAAATAAATGTAGGCTTAAAGTTATGGGTTGGCTTAGAGGTTAGTTTTCACTGGCAGTCCCTTTGCTTGATGTCATTAGGCATCATACAATAATACAAATTATACAATGAGTGTAAAAGTCAAAATCATACTACATTGTGGAAAAAAGCAATACAATTAAACAACGTGACACAATCCTATTAGTGCTGTCATGTAATATGTGTATTGACATAGCATCAGTCAGTCTGTGGTATTGATTGTTTTTCAAAGGAGAGGGAAGTTTATTTGTGTAATGAGGTTTTGTTCCAGCAGGTGCCAGTGTAGCCTCACTGTTAGCTGCTCCTCTGTAAATCCAGACCACACAGTCAATTTATTTTGAGTGCCTGAATTTTTTCCGTGCTGTACATCCAAAAGTGGTTCTCCTTTTTTCCCCTAAAAATCAGGAATTGTTAACATGTTATTCTAACGGGCTTACCCTTTTTAATCTTATACATTTTTTTTAAATGATTGTGTTTTCTAGAGAGCCATTCTGTAACCGAGGATGGCCCTTTACATAGTCGATTAATCAATAAACCAATTGACAAAGAAAACCTGTCTACCAAACATATTTTGACATCCAGTTTATTGTAAAATCCATCAACCATTAATGTTTATAAATAATCATAAGGCTTTGAAAAACATGCAAAACTCTGAGCTCTTTTGATTTATCAAATAATGATTTGGCAGAACATTGATAATGAAAAAAGTGGTTTGTTGCAGCCTTGCTTTGTACATGTTTCTATGTATTATGAGTGGAGTCTAAACATTTTTGTTGACAGCTGACCTGTGTTTATTTTTAGACCCATTTCTTTCAATGAATCCACACAAATAACATCACATCCCTTTGTTGGTGTTTCATTTAGCGCTGGTGAGGAGAAATAACAGTAAGACTCATTGGTGAACCATGCATGGGCCCTCTGATCAGAATCAGTCTCCTCCGCCCAGCCTTCCCTTGTGTGAGCAAACACTATACCAACACACATTAGGACTGGCTGCTTTGTGTGGATTGAGAGAGCAACAAAGATGCTACACAGAGTGATATGTCGTTAGTGAGCAGGTGGGAAGGACGACATTGAGCTTTTGCCTCTCCAGCTAAGTAATGAAGAGGTTCCCATGGCGACCCTTCTGCCTACTGCCATCCCTGTGTCATGGCGGCTGGCAGCCGGGATCAAAGTGTGCTGTCCTCAACTCTGCTGAGGGCGGAGGGTTAAAAGCTGGGGGAAAAGCCCCTCATTACACTCAACCAAATCTCCTTTAAGACACAGCTGACCTGTTACTGTGACAGAACCATCAGGTAGAGGTTTCTAACAATCGACTCTCTAGGAAATGAGAGACTGTCCACAGGTTCAGCCCACTGCTGCTGACAGTGAATGAGCGTCGGATAGGGACGTAACAACTTTATTTCAGTGAAAATAAATCATAGGTTTATAACACTGGACCACAAAGTATACATCTAATCTCTAAAATACTGCTTTTAGTTTATTATATTATTTTTTATAATATTATTTTAATATATTGTATTGCGATATTTTGTATTACTACATCTATTTTTGAAAAGCAAATAAACCTAATGAAGAATGTGAACTGAATTGCAACTGGATTAACTTGATCACTGTGGGAAAAAAAAGAATTTAGAGGAATTATATTTTATTTTTTATATATTGCTGAAATTATGATTATGGTTGTTTGTAATATATTTAATAGTTTAACACAAAAAACACAATTTGATTAGTCAATCAACACATTGACAACAATGGTTCTAGCTTTTCAAATGGGATTTGTTGCTTTTCCTCCATTTTATTTGTATTTTAACTAAATACCTCACGGTGGCCTGTTGAAAACAAATATTTGACAGTTTGTGTTTTTATATTTTCTTTGTTATTTTTGCCTTTATTGGACAGAAGACCGTGTAGGGGCACACTAATAAGGGGGTGAGAGATATACAACAAATGTTCTGTTACAACATTGTTCCCTAGGTGCTCTGACAGTTTCATTTATAAGGAAAATAATTGTTAGATGCAGCCTTAATTTAAAAGAAATGTGTTATTTAAATTGCAAATCAATCTTAAGGTTTAAGAAATATAATTGAATTTCTTTGTTTCTATTGTTTTGTTTCAGGTTTTGTTGTACCTCAGTTGTTGCTGTAGTTGAGGAGTTTGTTGTTTGACACTTTTTCACTTTCCTTGTTTTTTTTGGCTTTTAGTCCAAGCATTAAAAGTTATAAAAGGATTATCCATTAGCCTGACTTGGAGGGGGGGGGGTTAGGACGGTCCTAATTAGATCACTGTAACCCTCATGTGAGCAGCTACACTCCTGGTGGTCCGGTGCTGGGACACACTGGGACACACTCAGCTTATCGACTGGGAGAGAGCTGCGAGAACAACCAGAGTGAAAGGCCGAGTAAAAAGGAGGGGGGGGGGCTGTCAAATCCTTTTTAAGCCTTTTGTCATTTACACAGGGATTTATTTGCCATTAAAGAATAATAATGGTATTTGTGGCACAGTTAGGCCTTCATCACAAGTGTTTAAAAAACACAAAAAAGCATTTGATCTCATAAAAATAAATATGCACACAGGACTTCATGTCGTTTTTAAAACCGACAACAACTTCTTCAGTTTTGTTGTTTCAAGTTGTTGCTGAAGTGTCCTCCATTTTGTAAACATGGCCCTTTGCTGCTCTGTTCTGACTGGTCGTAACCTGCTGCCACTCTACAGGTTTCTGTAGCTACAGAGACGTGTTGAGTCACGTTTAATTTACAAAATCAATATTATCCCAGGAAAGTGTGCTCTATTTGTTGTTCTAGGTCATTCTGGCCTTTTTTTGCATGACTTTTTATGTGAGTGTGACTTTTGCAGATATGATCAGAGGGTGTGTTGACTCTCTGGCTCTGCCTCTGCACACCATCAGTGTGAGACCTTAATAACTGGGCTGGTGATTTATTGCATGTACTCAGCAGTGTCTTTTTTAGAGGTGTCGGACAAAAGCCGAGACCCTCACCCTCCCGCTGTTTTTAATAGTTCTTTAGGATGTGCAGGGAGGGAAAGAAATGGTAGTAATGTGGGGGATTCAATCTTTTGTAAGGAGGCAAAGTGAAAGAAGATTGAGCTCCTTAAAAGAAAGTTTGGATACTACTTTATCCCGGGTTATCTACAGTGGTTAGAGGCCAAAGTTTACATGTTTTTAAGCTAAAAGCATGTTTACATCACATTTACATTTTCATCTGAAAGGCTGGTATTGTGTTTTCTTTTTTGCTGCTGCTCAGTAAGCCTTCAGTGACCTCTGCTGCCCCGTCCAGAGGGGATAAGGTGCTCCTGGAGAAAAGCTGGTCTTATCTCCCTGCCGCCCTCTGAAGCAGTCGTGTTTTATGGGATGTAGCTCTTTTGTTTCCTTGTCCGCTGCCTTTGCCTGATCACTCACACTCATTCCTCATGGAAGTTGTTTGAAGGCCTAGAATAGCTTTGGAAAGGAAACCTCCCTCCTCCTCTTCTTCTTCTACTCCTCTGTTCCCTCTTTATTGAATCCCGCCTCTATATCATTTATCTCTAGCCCCCCTCTCCCTTTTTCCCTCACTTTCAGGGGGCCGTTAGGGGGCATCCTCTTTTCTCTCCCAGCTGGGTTTGTTGACACACAGTCAATCTGCGTTCCCTTTCACCCCTCTTTTTAACTCACCCCCCCTCCCCTCTGCTCTCCCCTCCGCTTTCCCTGAACAGTAAAGCTGCCACAGCTGTGGACTGTATTAGCATAGCTGAGGGGGGGGCTGCTAAATATATTGCAGCCATTACCTTTTGTTCAACAGTTGACAGTTTTAAAACATTTCAGCGGAGAGAGGGTGAGGGGAAAAGGGTGCTTTCAGTGTAACAGCTTTTTAAATATGGGACACAGAAGAAAGAGTGGGAGCAAATGAAAAGCTAATCACTGACAAACAAATCAATATCTAATTAGTGCAGTTAGAACAATACGGGTTGAACAAAATATTTTCCATTTGGTACAACCAAAAACAAATCATTCTTTTTTCTGTTTGACGTTAAAATGTCCTTTGGATAGATCCCACATTGTGCTGTGATTTACAACTCATGAACAATGACAGATTTTTAAATGTAGGCTGAATGTTTATTTTTTGGCTTGCTGTCAACAGGTTTTGGGATGAACAGGTCCAGCCAGCCTCCGGTCCCCAGGGTGACCCGCAGCGCCGCGGGCCGACTCACCGAGCCCGCAGAGAGGCTGGACTCCGGGCCGGGTCCGTACGGAAAACAACGACGGAAGCAGACTGACTCTGCTCTGGCCCAGGACCTCAGTCAGATGAGTATGAGCGGACAGGACACTCTCAATAACAGGTGGGGACCCTAAAAAGGTTTACGTTTTTATAGAGTCTAGATAAGGAACATGAAATCAGAGAGCATGAATAAGAGCAGGAGGTCCAACTGTGACTTTAAAGGTCACCTATTATTCAAAATCCACTTTTTCACGTCTTTTATACATAAACAGGTGTCCCCTCTGTGTAAAGAGATTCTGAACGTTTCAGGAAAAAAGATTTGCTCACTTTTTGTCCTGATCCATTTATATAGAAACCTGAAAATGAGCTGATCAGATTTTGGCCACTTTGTGATGTCATAATGGTTTTTTGGCTTGAGTAACCATTAACCAATAACCATCAAGGTAACACCCCCACCGTATCCCCTGAATCTCCTCTTATGCCCCTTTCACACCAACGCAACTCCGGTTCAAGCTCCGTGCTAGAGCTTTTCTGGTTCAGAACCGGTTCTTCGGTTTAGCGCCGGCTCTTTTCACACCGCTCAGAGCCCGACTGGTGCTGCCGCTGCTGCGTCATGACGTCACAGTTTACGTCGCTGAGTTTCTCCCCAACGCCGGAGCTCACCTCACAACAACAACGGGCCGGGGACTGCGTTGCTTTTAATCATACGAAGCCAGATTAAATTAAATAACGACTTCTCCAACCTTATACTTTTCTCCAGAGTGCCGTGGTTCATTGTTTATTAATGTGTTTCAGCGGCATTTACCGACCGCTGCAGTGCTGGCTGCTCTTCCACGGGAGTGTATTCTCTCGTTAGCTCCGGGTTAGCTCACACGGCTCTAAAGTATTCACTGTCTGACTGTCACACAAGCAGCTGATACATATCCCCAGTTCCCCTTAAGTGAATGTGTGTCAGTCTGAATTGACGCTGTTTGGTGTCAGTCTGAATTGACGCTGTTTGGCATCACAACGCTGTTATGAAAGTTTCTCTGGTATAACATGGGTGATGTTAGCATAGCAACCGAAGCTAAACTGACTACTTGCTAAGCCGTGTTCTACAGGCACTTTTTATCGACGTATTTTTCATTATGATTCTACTTGTGATAGTCGGACATGACAACCTGTGCAGCCCATCTATTGATTCCATCCGATAGCTGCTATAATAACAAACAAAACGTCTGCCTGCTCTCCACAATGATCAATAACAGCGAACGGATGGTCAAAGTAAGGTACAAATAAACAGAATCACACGAAGCCTGGTTAGTGTTGCCTGACTTTATAAAGTGTGTTTTTTTTAACAAGTGTGTGGTTGCGTTCTAGTCACTTTGCTCAGCACTACTGCTTGTTACAACTTTTATTTGCCGTACTCGCCTTAAGTGTTAGCTCAGGTTAATCTCGCCCCCCTCCGACGTAAGCGTGACGTATGCGGTTCTTGCTTCTAGACGGACAACTTTTTGGTGCTCGAAACGAACCGGATTCCGGAGCTATGACGCTGCTCGGCTGCGGTGTGAACAGGAAAACCCGGTGCTTTTCAAGCACCAGCACCGAACCGGCCCTGAAACACCGTTGGTGTGAAAGGGGTATTGGAGCACCATTGTGTTCTTTTTAACCAAATATCTCTCAGAGGGGCGTGGGGAGTGGCTCCTTATTTTCATCTAAAGTAACAGACAGAGAATCAGCACTTTTGAAACAGGGCTGAAACAGAGAGGATTATGGGATGCTACAATGAATGATCTGTTTGGTATTTGGAGCCAAACACTTCAGAGACATGTTTTGTATTTATCTGAGACCTATAATATATTGATGAAAAACAGTATAATAGGAGACCTTTAATATCAGTGATTGACAAACGGAGGCAAAAATATTATCATTAGTAACTTGCAAATACATATATACACAAATAACCACATATGCAAACATTTATACATACATGTAACAAAACTAAAACAGTGGAGGCATAGTACTATATTAAAAATGATGCTAGATTTGAACAAAGTAAACATGTAATAGTCGTGAGACATACGGTATGTTTAACTATAACTCTGTGAAACCAGTAATGTCAACAAAAGACACCGTCTAAAGAAGTAATCGGGGCATTGCATGCTGGGCGTCAGGGCCACTGTGGCTGGGGAGCATACCATTTTTGAGGAGCAAATGGGAGACCACACTGCCTTCATTCAAAGGTATTATGCAGGAGATTGTCTTATTTGGGATCAAGATGTTTTTGTGTCTTTTTTGGAAGCAGTCCGTCTGCTTCAGCTGTCAAATCCTCCTCTCGGGGGGGTCTAGCCTCTGTGGCTCGGCTGGTCAAACTGGGCCGCTGCAAGAATGTGGTGGTGGTGGCCGGAGCAGGAGTCAGCACGGCCAGCGGCATCCCAGACTTCAGGTACATTTGTTCTCTTTACAGCCCCATCATCATCTTTCCTTTGTCTATTATATTAGTCTGTTAAGTGGATATAAAAAGTACAATAAAGACACTTTAATGAAACCATAATGTCCAAATCAAAGTGCCTGTATTTCCACGTTTCCAGAACTCCAGGAACCGGTCTTTACGCCAACTTGGAGAAGTACAACATCCCTTACCCAGAAGCTATTTTCAACATTGACTACTTCTCCAACGACCCGCAGCCCTTCTTCTCCCTGGCCAAGGCTCTGTATCCCGGCAGCCACCGTCCAAACTACATACACTACTTCATCCGCATGCTTCATAACAAAGGACTGCTGCTCCGAGTGTACACCCAGAACATCGACGGACTCGAGAAACGTGAGGGAGATCTTATTTGTATAAAAAAAATGTAAACTGTTTAAACTTAAACCATTTCATAAGGAGTACAAAAATACACATTAAATGTGCACATCCATGTTTTTTACCATTGCAGAAAAATATTTAACATTATCTCTTGCATGGAGTTTGATGCGCTAGAAATGACACATTGTGTACTACGTATTTGATGTATATAATGTGTTGTATTGTAGTATGTGCAGGATGGTTTACATACCGCGTATCATGTATATCGTGTATGCCATGGATGATGCTCTACCTCTGTGATGTTCCCTTTGTCCGTCTTGTCAGTTATTGTCCTGTCTCTGGTGTAGTTTGCCGTGGTACTTTGATATCTTGATATGTGATACATTTAGCAGGCTGTGTTGTTATGTATGTATATATGTATGTTTTTCTTTTTCTGGAAAAAAACAATAAAAAGAAAATAACAACATCAAAAAAAACAACAACAAAAGAAAGAAATTACACATTGTGTTTCCTGCACAACTTCCTTTGTGCTTTCTTGGTTTGTCTAATGGAAAAAAGATTCAAAGTCGGTTTGAGTTATAATATTTTTCTGTCTGTACAGTGTGTGGCATCCCAGATGACAAACTTGTGGAAGCTCACGGTAGTTTTGCCACAGCTGCCTGTCACCTCTGCTACACTGCATACCCCGCTGAAGACGCTAAGGTATGTGTGACCTAAAAAAACACCATCTTGAAATGTAAAACAGTCCTTCTATTCAATGCTTTCTTCTCTGGTTCTGCAGCAGGCCATAATGAATGACAAAGTCCCCATATGCACCTTCTGCGCTGCAACAGTGAAACCTGACGTTGTGTTTTTTGGAGAGGACCTTCCTCAGAAGTATTTCCTCAACACTCAAGACTTCCCCAAAGCAGACCTGCTCATCATTATGGGCACATCTTTACAAGTAAGCATTTTTAATATCATTCCTCTAATTGGTTCAATACATTTTTTGAGCAGAACGCTGAGCTCGGTTTTATCTGAACCAAAATCTATTGTTTCAGATTGAGCCATTTGCCAGCTTGGTGAACACAGTCCGCTCCACCGTGCCCCGCCTCCTCCTGAACCGAAACGCTGTGGGACCCTTTGAGAAGGTCCCGCTGCGCAGGGCGGACCACATGGAGCTGGGCGACCTGGAGGAGACCGTGAGGAGGTTTGCTGAAATGCTCGGCTGGAACGATGACATGGAGGAGCTGATGAGGAGTCAGGAAACACTGGTGGGTTCCATTTTAAAACACAACGCCATACAAATCAATTTATTAAAGATTATTATGCAAGGTGTAAGTCTTGAGATGATTTTTTTAAACATACTTTTGCGATATCCAAAGGGAAACGCAGAGCACTGGTGATATATACGTATAAACAAAAGAAACCTAAGAATACTCCATGGTGCTGCTGACATTGCACTTCTATAAGATTCAGACTAACAATGGATATTTGCAGAGCCTTAGATGTCATCTTTTGGTTTCGATCATTAGTTTTACTTTCCTACATTACCCATAATGCAACTTAACCACCAACTGCCCTTGCTCCAAAGCCACAGGGTTTCACCTAGGGACAATCAATAAATTACGTTTAAATGACACACAACTAATGTTATTAACGATTCCTCCGTGCTGGTTTAAGTGAAAAAATTATGCAATAAAAATATGATAATTAAATGTTATGATTTGTCAAAGTATTATTATAGAAGATTATTTCAGTTAATTTCAATAGCTTATTTAGTTGCTTTTATTAAAATGTTTGTTTGAATATCAGCTTTTCTTAAATTGTAAAACTAGTATTTTCAATAGCTTCCATGTATGGGCTAATGACTGACATCCGAAATGGCCTTAATCCACCATTTGCTTTATAAACATTAGCACTCCCAATGAGAACTTGATTTATAATCTTTGAAGTTGCTCTTAAAATGTCTCTGGGCTCAATTTTCAAACACTTTTGCTGACTATGTGAATCATGTTCTTCTGCAGAGCCTCCCTACGCTGATAAGCAGCCCTCTGTCAGTGGACCAGACGTCCTGTCAGAGCAAAGGAGCTCCGGCTGGGACGGAGACCTCCAGGTCCAGAGCGGGGGGGCAGAGGGGAGCCAGCAGCGGCAGCGAGGAGACGGACTCCGAGACGGACAGCAAGAGCTCTGCGTCCTCCAGCCAGAGCACCTGACGCTGACGTTTCCTAAACAATAGGCTCTGGAAAGGTTTCAAACTGTTCCTCCTCTTCTGACACTAACACTGTTCTCCAGTTACCTGTTCACATGCACGACTCATTCGTTTAGAAAATGCTTTTTGTGCATTTGGACTGAAGGTGCAACTTACCTGTTTATCTGGGAGTCACAGTGTGTCATAGTTGTATGTTCATATGTAAATACAAAAATGTTGTTTATCAAGCTATCTACAAGCATATTTATAGCACTTATAGAGCGAGTGTCCATCGAGAACACTACTATACATGTATTGTAACAACAATTCTAATGTTTATTCAGGTGTTTTATATGTCCCATGTCAGTCATCTTGTTAATGTTTTATATAACTGTATTTTAAACAAAATTCAATAAAGGAATTGTGTCATTTAATTTGCATCTTGTGTCATTTAAAAACAAGGTTTATGTAATATTAGTCAGAAAACAACCACTGCTCTTATTCTCCAGTTTATTAACTTTTCAGTGGAAGCCTCACATAAAATAAGTGCGCTGCTATTTACAGTATATAAAGTGTGCAAAAATACAACAAAAGCTTTCCAGATAGAGAAGGGATCAACATGCAATTTTAATATATCCCACTATGACTGTGGAGGAAAGAGAAGGCATTTACACAGGAGCACGAGAGACACGGCTGCATGACTAACTGAAGGGGAAAAAGTGTTTCCAAAAGCTTGTGCTACCCAACACCTTACTGCTAGGTTTTGACTTTAATTTGTGTATGTCTGACCTTTTATGACTTTTCTAAGCAACAAAAAACATTAAATTAGTCACATGAAGTTTAAGAGAGTGACTCGAAGTCTTTTTGTGAGGCAAACTCTAGATCATTTATTATTTTCTGTGTGAGGAGGCAGTAGTGATGATTCTCAGGTCAGGTGAAAAGTGTGCTCATGATTATTCATTATAAAACAAGTAAAAGTTTCCTTTATCATATAATAATGACATGTTCTCTGGTTAAAGCATTACTCGGTTTCTCTGGATTGTAATCAGCTATTTGTTTTTGTACAAGGAAAGTCTCAGTTATCCAAAGTCAGGGTTTCACTTTGGGGGCAAATCTGTTGCATTCAGCTTATTTAAAAAGTGGCAGATATTAAATTAAATTGTACTAACAAAAATAAGTCTTATCAGTTTATACAGACATGTTGAATTGTATAAAATTAGCAAACATTTCAATCTAGAAAAAAAAAAGAAAAACATCAACTGATTTAACATAATGCAGATTTGGCAAAAGTAAAATGAATTAGAAAACAATCATTGCAGTTTACACAATTCTCTGTCGAGAGTCCACAGCAGGCAGAAACAATCTCTTCACTATCGTCCACCACAGGAAAAGGTTGCGTCTCTCCACAATTTATACATAAAAAAAAAAAAGGTATTTCAGTGACACAACAGCAAACCAACAAGCCCTGAATTCAGAAGGTTTCCTTGGCGACTAACTGGTGTGCAACACTCATAATAATTACACAACCGAACACAGACTCAGTGTGAGCTGCAAGTGAAACCTATCCACACTGCCTGATCTCTAAATATTCACCAATCTAGTTGTCTCTAACGGACATACCCCATGATTTTAAACCAACAACAAGGGTCTTTGTTTACAGTTTTTGTTGATATCATGTTTAAAGCAGTTTCTATTATGTGCGCTTGAGTCATCTAGAAACAGAGTTAACAAAATCATCATGTAGCAGAAAGAAGAGAAATGTTAAAAAACAAAAGCACATGTGAAGGAATGATTATTCAGACCCAGTGACACTTCGACTATGACAACGTGCTTTCAGTGACCTACACATGATCCAGCAACGAATTATATTATTACCTCTATTTTTTTTAAACTTAAGGAGTGCTACAATAAATGAGGAAGGTGCAACAGTAAGCATGGTGGTCTCCTTTGCATTTTGATGCCACTGCAAAGTCTCTGATGCGCATCAAGTCCACTTCCTCTCTGGAGGAGGTCTCAGTGCTGCGACAGGGCCTCCACGGTTTCTTGGGACATGGTGAGCCGTGTCCCAGTTCAGGACCGGATCACCGGACGTCACATTTTAATATTAAATACACCATGTTGCCCAACATATATTACATCGCTTATCGCTTAAAACACATTTATCGTTAACCCGATTCACTATCTGCCAATCTGAAACATTTGATACACTTAAACGTCCTAATGTTAATTCACAAATCTGTCAAATTAGGGTGACTTTCTGGTCATCCAAGTTAAAAAAGCAGATCCTAAATTTCAGCATTTGTTTGGATTTGTGAGATCCCTCCTGACACTGACATGGGACACAGCTCTGGGATCTGTTGAGGGGTTTAGCCTGAACATGGGGCCTGAAAGTGGCGTGCCTAGTCAGAGTCCGATCCTGAGTCATCGGGGGGGTCGCAGAGAGTTTCTTCAAGTGGTGCTAACGTCCCGTCAGGCATGACCCCCATCGGCCGGATCACATTCTGCCTGTTGACACAAAAAGAAAAACATATTGCTGTTTGAATTTAACCCCCTACTCTGTTCAGGACTGTCTGTATCCTCGGGCAGTTTAAAGGGGGCTTTCACTCCTGCATCTTTACTCTCTTACATCCAGAGCTCAAGGACCCTCACCCTACAACCCCACTTGCCCCTGTCTGGCCATCCTCACCCCCCCCCTCCCTGGCAGTTTAATTACAGGATCAGCGCTCAAACTAATCTCCTCAAAGCCACGGCTGCCCCTTCATCCTAATCCAATTATACCTGCACTGTGTGTCACCCCTCCCTCTGAGATGGTTTATCAGAGAATTACCCACCACAGATTTATTAAGGACCCATTTGCATTCAGTTGTAAAGAGATTCCAAAATAAATGGCCATGTAATCGCTACTGATTCCTCCAATTAAATGTAACTTATCCTGGTTAAAGAGCAGGTTCTGTAGTTTGATAGGAGATGCAGGATGAATCTGAATATATTTAAGTATTTTCTTTGCAGCTTTCTCTAATGACATTTTCTTTTGACAGAGAGGCACCACTAGTCCACAGCCTCAGATCACTGGTTAGTGTCGGCAGGTAAAATGAAGCCTAACAAGACAAAACAAACAAAAACATGTGACATCATCCCTCCCAATTAGTGCAGAAATAATCCCTCCTCTCCTCCCGAGCAGTGACAGAGGACTGGGGGTCTGTCAGATGTAAACGGGGGTGGGCGGGGGTGCAGAATATGTGCTAATTGGAGGACCAGTTAAGCAGTTAGAGGGGCACATTCTTCCAGGGCTCTGAGCGATCTCCTTAGAGCTGCACTGAGGACGCACCTCTCCCTCAGCATCACACCTCCTCCACTGAGGAGCAGAAGAAAGAGGAGAGGAATCTTCCTCTTCTGGGCGCACGTGTCTCATTACAGCTCAACCCCCTCTTTGGCTTTACAAGGACGAGGTCAGCTTTCTTACGTTTGCACATTTGTTCACTCGTGTCTCTCCCTGCACGTTCCACTCAAATTGCCTTGTTGTTAGTTGTGCCTCTGTCTCAGTCCACGCCCTGACTGGCTCCTCAGAATGAAGTCAGGACACATGTGTTATCTGAGAAAACCTGAATGCGGCACATAAAAGGAGCCGGGGCCCGAAGAGCCAGCTGTGTCTACCAATTAGGTGATAATTAACAGGGCTGTGGTAATGATGCTGCAGCGGCGTGCCGGCAGCTTCCTTTTACCCCGGCTGAATGCTGCGGCGTGCTGGAAGTCGGGCCTAATTAAAGCTGCGGCTCACAGGAAGAGATTCTTCCTTTGATGAAGCGGTTGGCAGGGAGCGGGCGCACTGTTACCTTTGTGACGCCATTGTGCCTGACTGACGTTAGCCTCGGCTCAGGAAAGGTCAACACAAATACAGGTGGGCCTTTCGCAGGGGAAACAATGAATAATATGAATAATTTGAACAGGGAAACAACTGTTGCTCCAGCTCAAAAAGTTAATGATCTTAGTCGAGCCTTTTGACAAATGAGGATTTTTTGTAACTTTTGAAAAGATTTCAGTGGCATGTCAAGTTTGTTTGTTTCTTGGTTAGCATGATATCTGTTTGTTGACTACCGTCCGTTGAACATTTTGTGCTATTGTATGCTATTAATGTTCCTGACCAAGGGGTTTGAGACACTGACCATGTTATTGAAACACCTTTGTTACATTTCTTCCTTCCTATTTTCCCCTCATGTCCTGTTACCTCTACTGTCCATTATCAAAAAAAACAATAACTTGAAAACAAACATCAGAAAAATAAAACACTTACAGTTGAATTACTAAACCGAGGATTCTACAGTCCCTAGTAGAGTTATTCTTAGAGTCTTTTATATTTTAGCATTGTTACCTTGACAACTTGTCAAACATATTGACTAGTTTCTGGGCTTCGTACTCCTTCTGCTCCTCCGTCATCTCTTCGATGGGGTTCGGCATGGGCTCCTCCACATGACCGGTGATGGGGTTGATGCTGGAACAAGAAGATGAGCACAAATAAAAGTACAACAGCAAACAGATTCATACATAATCAATGCATACAGATGAACTAAACACGTTGGCCTCAGAGAGCTGTACCCTAAGATCTGTGCAGAGCACTCACAAGGGTTTAGCAGATTTGTACTCCTCTGTGTCTGAGTCTTCATCATCGGAGTACTGAGTCTCTCCTCTCCCTCCTGCAAGGAGTCCTCGAGCCACCAGGAGTCCCGCTGCGTTTCCATATCCTGTGTACTTCAACAGGTTGTCTACTACAAGACAACACCACAAATACACAAGATCGTTAAGTTACATCTAGAGCGAGCATGAGCTTAGCAGTAGTTATAGCAACGCAGCAGTCATGCATCTGATAGTTCACTACTCCATTATTTGCACTTAACTTCTAAACTACAAACCCTGCTCTGTAATCCATTTGTAATCTAACATTAATTCCACTTGCCCTATGTCTCCATTTACTGCATCTTAGCTATTAAACCAATGTTAAAACTGATGGAATAAATGTTTTGGGACCATTTAGTAGCACGGTTAGTTCCTTTTTAGGGTATTTGGTTAGTCCTAGGTGGTTCCCAATGTTATTGTATAAAACATGCTTTAAAAAAATCTACACAACAGATAATAAACATGTATTTTAAATGCTTTCTGCCCCTACTCTCAAACTTCAGATTTTCTTATCAGGGAGTCCCATTTCACATATCTCCAATATGTCTCATGATAGTACTTGTGTTGGAGCTGTGTGCAAAGAACTGAAACTCAATAAACTAAACCAAAGTTATTCCTGCTCTCACTTCATATTTTCTGATCTGTGGGGTTGCACTATGTTCCTCCCATGCCCCGACCACTGCTCACCGCTTTCTTTGCAGAGGACAAAGAGAAACTCTGCAGCCGTCTGCTTCACCCCCATGTC